CTGTAGTTCCGCTGATAGTTAAGTGGCCCGATACAGGGCTGTCTGCATCTTATGACTGAAGCTGGGCCGTGGTGCTTACGGCCCTTGTCCCAGCTCCACTAGGCCTTCTGTCTGCAGAGGTCGCCACAGGCCCCACAGTCTCTGTTGTGCCGTGACAGCCCATCTGAGCTCCCTGCACTGCACCTGTTTCTCATCCAGCCTCCCTCCCTGCCTGCAAATCTCAGCACGGATCCTTGGGGGCCCTGGCTTCACCAAATGATTTACCAAATGACATTTGCACAGGCAACAAAGGTATCACAGAACTTGCCAACAGGACTGAGGACCTGACTGACTGACAACCTGACTTTGATCCTTGGAACCCACAACGTAGAGAGAACTGACTCCTGCAAGTCCTTGGACTTCTACACACAAGCCATAGCATATGTGTGCCCACACAAAGACATAAACAGGCATAAAAAAATTAAGAGCCTCCCCTCCCCAGACAAGTGTTAGAAAGGGTAGGCCACACAGACAGACAGAGCTGAAGAGCGCTCACGGTGTGTCAGGCGGGTGCATCAGCTCACTCTGAACCTTTCACATGGTTGCTGTAGTTGAGAACTGGGAAGTAGCTGTGTTACCAAAATCCACCTGGATAAACACTGACCCATTCTTTGTAGTGTAAAAAGCAATCATTCTGACACAAGGTTTATAAATCACCCAATGAGAACACAAATCTGTGCCAATTCTTGGGTACCCGACCACTTCTACTACAGGGCCAATGGTTGCCCAAAACTTCAGTTCTGAGAGGAGAGAGATGAAGGGGCAGAAATGAAGTGTGTGGCATTAACAAATGGCTATCACAGAATCTTTGTGAGCTCGGACGTGTCCTCAGATATTCCTTCTCTGACCCCTCAAGAAATGACAGCAGGAACAAGGAGAACCACACATGGTCTCGCTGAGACTACGGCGTACTTGGCCCAGTACTTGGCTGTGTTAGTGGCTAAGTTGTAGAGGCTCCACACAACAGTAATTACATTAGCAAAGATGATTTAAGTCATGCATGCTTTTACCCACCTCCTCTTTGGTTCACCTTCATCAGGTCTGGTTCCTTAGGTCAGCATCCAGCTCACGACAGCCACATGCTGTTGTGCTGTCCGCTAGCATGGTGACATCATGACCATTTAGTGATATAGGAACAGTCCCAGAGACCTGCGCAAGGGGACTAGTCAGCTAGCTGTGGCTCTTACTACATGACCACAGAATTCAGTGGTCTGAAATATCACTTCTACCTCAGTGGATCCAGAAAGCCCCCACGGACCTTCTGCTCACAGGTTTGCTGGAAGGATTCGGCTCCCAGTGTGGTGGGCCCAAGTTTCCCTCCTTAGGGAAGAAAGGCCAGGCACAGGCTGGCCCTTCGCTGGCTTCTGGCCACTTAGATTTCACAGTGCTCTTCTCCTTCCCTATGGGAGCCTAGAGTTTGAGATGTGCCAGACAGAAGTCACCCATGTGACCCCAAGAAAAACCTGGGTTTGATGCTTGCTGAGTCTCCCTGGAAGACCATGCTGCTTAACTGGATGAGACCAGCCCTGTGCTGGCTCCTCTGGGAGATGCTTGAAGCAGGTTTCTTCTAGATGTTTCTATGGATGGGCCCTGTTCTGGCTAGTTTTATGTCAACTTGACATGTTAGTCATCTGAAAGAAGGGATCCTCAATTAAGAAAATGCCTCTATAAGATGGGGCTGTAGGCAAACCTGTAGGGCATTTTCTTAGTGATTGATGGGGGAGGGCCCAGTCCATTGTGGGTGGTGCCATCCCTGGGCTGCTGGTCCCGGGTTCTCTAAGAAAGCAGGCTGAGCAAGCCATGAGGGGAAAGCCAGTAGGCATCACCCCTCCATGACCTCAACTCCTGCCTCCAGGTTCCTGTCCTGACTTCCCTCACTGATGGACTGTAAACTGAAATCAACCCTTTCCTTCCCAGATTGCTTTGGTCATGGTGTTTGATCACAGCAACAGTAACTCTAACTAGGTCTCACTGCTGCGTTTCTAAGTTTTTCCACTGGAACAAAGAAAATCTGGGAGAATGACCGTGCTGAATCCCGGGAGTCCTTGGGGACCTGGCAGAGTGAGAGTCAAGTCAGTAAGACGGCAACCAGTCTTCACCAACTTAATTGCCCTCATTCCACACACTGCAGACAAGTCACTCTGTGTGGTGTCTCCCCAAAGACACAAGAATGCACGGGGTATGAATTCTCAAGTTGGAAGTCACCATCAAGGCATGGTGATGGCCAGAGGCAGCACAAGCTACTGACCTCGTGCAGCTAAGCATTCCACTAAGAGGGCTGACAGACAGGCAATGCTCCGTTTACTCCAAGTGCTGAGGGGTGCTGCTCCCACCAACGTGCAGTCAATGCAGATATCCCGAAGGTTATGGATGGCATAAAAATTCTGCCCTGGACTCTTGTATGTATGGCCGTCTCCGGTCTTCACTTATCTTCGATTCAGAGTAGCCTTAAGTCTCATGGTTCAGTCGGTGTCAATCCCTCCTCAGAGCCAAACCTGCACTGCCAGCTTCTGTATTCTTCCGTTCTGTGAACTCCAGACACATGCAGGTGCACAACATATGGTCACTTCTGTACGAACAGCAGCTTTCCACTTTCCTGCCCCGGTCACGTGCTGACACAGGACCTTCTGTTGTTACATACAGTGTGTGGAATGACTTTGCAAGCACATGTTTAACACCCCTGCTGGTCTGGACGTGGTCAGAGGTAAGCATCATTTATACTCATCATTTCCATATATTCCAACATTCGAAGAAAACAAAAGCTTTGGATTTTTTCCTAGATTTTGTTTCTATTTATGCGCATGTGTATGTATGTGCAAGGACATGCAGAAACCAGAGGAGGGTGGTTATAATCCCTGGAGCTGGAGTTACGACAGCTGTGAGCCACCCCACATGGGTGCTGGGACTGCTCTCAGCTCCTGAGCCCTCCCCCCGCCCCAGAAGTAAGTGTTGAGTTCAGTCTGTCTTCTTTTAGTCCACCCAGAGGCAGCTGCTACTCTGCACATGCTTCCCAAGGCTGCTTCAGTGACCGCTTAGGAAATACAAGCACCAACTGCTCTGTGCAAGGCCAAGACACCCTACAGGCAGATGCCTTTGCTCCCATAATGCACTTGCTGGGAACCAGACAACCTTGACCTTACTGAAATTAAGAGGAAAACATCCTTCACTATAAGCATTCACTGGAACCACTTTAAACATTCTGGAAACCAAGGGAAACACATGAGCCTGAGTGGCTCTACGCCTGTGCGGCACCCAGGATTGCCACCTGGCCTGCACTCCCAGTAGAGGGGTGTGAGCAGTTCCGTCTGCTCACATCCATCTGGATGATGGCCTCCATTAGTGTGCATAAGCCCGGCACTTGGGGAGCTGAAGCGGGAGGCTCTCAGTTCAGGTGCCTGAACTACGTACTAACAAAGCCATGTTGTGGGACAGTTGTTCACTGTGAACATGCATTGCTGTGACTGTTGTAATAAAACGCTCAACAGCCAATAGCTAGGCAGAAGGTAAAGGCGGGACTCCCAGGCAGAGAGAAAGACTCCCAGGAGATGAATCTAGGTGCATGGGAGACACCAGTCAGTGGGATTCTAAAGAAATCGGACATACGGTATAGATCAGCGGTAACAGAGCCACGTGACAGAACACAGATTAAAATAAACAGGTTAATTTAAGTTATAAGAGCTAGTGGGACAAGCCTCAGCTAAGACTGAGCATTCACAATTCGTAAGAAGTCCACATGTCATTATTTGGGAGCTTGAAAGACCTCCCTGTAAAACACCAACACCGAGTGGGGAACATGGCAGGCAGGGGACTGCGGTGAGCAAACTGCTACCACATGATGCGCTCTGCCTGTGTGCTCTGGGGGAACACGGAAGCCCAAGAACGTTCTACAGAACCACTGCCCCACGCCCTGTCAGAGTCCGGGCAGCACTGGGTGAGAATGTCACCGTGCCATTTGGCAGTGAGGTACTTCCAGTGGTTACGGCTTAGTGGTCTTCTCATTCAAGGCTATACTTACAAATAATAAGACCTGTATTTTAGGAGAGACCCACTGCTGCTAAAATCCCTCCCACAGGGCGAGGAACACAAGCAGCCTGCCCCTCCTAAGAGTCCAACCACAAGCTTCACCAAAAACTGCACAGTTCTACCAAGGTCCATCTGGGGACCAGTGAGTTTCTCCAGCCAGTATTCTCCAGCCGCTCCCTGAGGCAGTTACAACATATGCTATGGTAGCTGGACATTCAGGTGAGAGTCCTGTGACCCTCCCCGGGGGCCGTCAAGAGCCAACCAGCCCAGCTGGGATGACCTTTTATGGGCAGGTGCAGCTGAACTGCAGGGCTGTTGTTTGGCTCAGAGATTCGTAAAGTTCCACAGACACACACAGGAAGGCCCAACAAAACACACCTGTACCTGATGCTCAATGGTCACACCAAGGACACCCCACACACGGGAAAGAGACCTACTGCAAGGGTTCACGAGGCCAAGGAGACAGACCCACGAGCAGGCGCCATGTCTGCCCTGCATTTATGTGCACTGCTAAGGAAGTCAACAGTCACTTCTGAGCACGAGGCCGTTCAATACCAAGGCCGACAGGGGAAGCTGCACTAGAGCCCTCCACTCTGGAAACGGTCACTGCTGGGGAGGATACACATGACAAGGCTAGCCCTCCTGGAAGCCAGGCAGGGGACAGTACAGTTCCACCCTGTTCTACCTCTCCATTCTTCAATGCCGAAACCCTTAGTGACTCAACCGGCACGAGGCTGGTTCTGTGCTAAAACCAGGTCAAGGATCCAGCACACCCCAGTCCAGTCTGGAGCAGCTCCCGGAAGCAGGAAGGTGCTCAAGACACACTGGCCGACAACTCCGCTCACTAGCCCTGCTTCAGTGTCTACACAGAGACAAGAGGGCTCCGTTTTCTTTCCCATTAGCCAACGAAGGGCAAATCAGTCACATGCTTAGACACATTATCATAATAGCGCTTTATTTCATGGCCCAAATAACTGCAACCCCACTTAAAGCACCTGCTGGATAAGCACAAAACTGTCCCCAAAACTGCTATCATGATTCATCAGTCTTTATTCTGGGACCGCTTACTTCACTCTATCACAAAGGCACGGAAGTCACCTGAGGCCTCAGGTGTCAGCATCACCGCATGGTGCACCAATGTCAGTCCAAACATTATTAAAGCATAGAGCCATTTCCCAAAGAGTTGTAGTTTTTACTATAAATAATTTTTAAAAGACTAGGCCAATACTGGCCCAACAAGGGACCTGAACTTCTGCAAAGGCTGTTTTGCATCAGCCTTCAGAAGCAGAAACACAGATCCAATCTGCCAAAGCGACTCCTAAATGCTGGAAAATACAACTCCCCAGACTGCTGCCACCCACCCATGTAGAGGCCCTATACACTTTGCAGCTAAGGACATTCTGGATCTTATCTCAACCACCAAGGGATGATACCAGTTCAGTGTGCGGAGATCTCTTCACCGGGATGGCTCAGTTGCAGCTGGGTCACAGCTGGTGATGGTGGCCTCTTGTGCTGTCTGCTCGGCGTCCTCATCATTTTCAGGCTGCTCTGGACTGGCTACACTCTCATTGGTAAGAATGACCCCATCTTTCTTCTTTTCTCCTAACACCTCAAGGCCCATCATCCGAAGATAATGAAGCCTCTCATTCTTGGGTACAAAAGTTCGAATAGAAGCCTTTCCCCGCCACCCACACAGCACAATGGGGCACTGGAGGGCATCAGGATTCCTGCCAACAAAGAAGTTGGTAAGCATTAAACATCCTGTTAGCTAACGCTAATGACACATGCAACCTCTCCAAAAAGTGCCGTACCCACCGCCCCAATTCCGGCCACGTGTGCCGCCAGTTTTCTGTGCTCCTGACACTCGGTAGCTGCCACCTTACCACCTGGAACTCCCCAAAGGGTAAGCCCTGAAAATCCTGTAGCCTGGGACCCTCTGGCTTTGGCCTTCACGTGCTGGGGTTCCACCATGAACCTCCATGCCCAGCTACTTATCCAACAATGAGGAATATGCACTTACGCAGAATCTGGTTCATACTTCAGCACAACACTTCCCTTTGCTGGAAGAAAAGAGAAACAGACACATGAACCAAGGTTTTCACTTAGTGGCCACAACTAAGATGGGTGTGTGGTTTTCAAGAGGACAGCTCTCAAAGGAAGGAGCAGGAGGCTATGAGTTAACTCCTGGTCAATTCTCAACAGTCAAGTTAAGTAAATTAAAGCTCCAGCGCCTAGACCCAGCCCAGAATAACAAGAGAATTACCATGTCCTATATCCATCACCTCAAAGAAGGACGAGGGCCAGCCAGACGGCTCAGCTGGGAAAAGTGCTTGCTGTGCAAACCTGAAGACTGGAGTCTGGAGTTCGATCCCAGAACCCAGTGTGAAGAAGGAACCAATTCCTACATGTTGTCTTCCGACCTCTACATGCACACTATGGCCCACACATACCCAATCATCAATGAAAGACATAACATAGCCGGGCAGTGGTGGCGCATGCCTTTAATCCCAGCACTTGGGAGGCAGAGGCAGGTGGATCTCTGTGAGTTCGAGGCCAGCCTGGACTACCAAGTGAGTCCCAGGAAAGGCGCAAAGCTACACAGAGAAACCCTGTCTCAAAAAACAAAACAAAAAAAAAAAAAGACATAACATAAACCTTCATGTAAGATTAAAAAAAAAAAAAAAAGAAATATAAAGTTCCTGTCTGTTTTTAAATAATGGAGTGGGGGAGAAGAGAGTTCCAAACGGCACACTTGTGGCTCCCACCAGGGTGAGACCATGCAGAGTGAGCTGTCTGTAGCACCAACAGACACTTGTGGGAGGAATGCAAACAAAGAGGGCTTGTGAAGAGGTCACCACCGTGACCTAGTGACCTAACACACAAGTTCAGGAGCTCTAGAGGACAGTGCAACCAAGACTGTGGTCTCATGGACCTAACATAGGGAACTGAACTCCAGAGTCCTACAGAGACAGGGAGAAGAGTCAAGAGGAGGGCCACATGGCCAGGACCCAAGTCATGTCCAGCTCAGCAAGGTGCAGCCAAACAGGGGCTTAAAGAGTCAGGCCCAAGGGCTTTATAAACTCAGGGGGTACTGCCTAGCAGCAGAAGGGATTCCACAGGGACAAGGGAAAGAACCCTCAAAAAGGGATTAAGTCTTTCATATGAAATGACAAGAATTTGCAGAGCCCACTTAGAGCCTCTGTAATGTTCCCTGTAGGTGACTTAAAATGCCCTCCAGAGTGACGTCCTACCCACAGCTGTTATTCAGGTTACTTGCTGTGCAGCCAAGGATGATGACTATCTGGTCTTCCTGACTCGTGTCCTAAGTGCTGGGGTTACAGACAGGCTCAGTATCCTGTAGTTTCTGTAGTTTACGGGGATCAAAGCCAGGGCTCCGAGCATGCCAAGGGAAGACCTGTGTCAACTGAGCACATCCCTAGCCAGGCATGACTTTTTCCTCTCAAATATTTTCAATCCATGACTGGTTGAATCTGAGGATGTGGAACCCGTACAGAGGGCCTGCCTGAATTACTACATGTGACTGAGAAACGTGTCCTAAAAGTAGAAACACCTGTTACAGGTGTTACCTGTTGCAGGCCTCATGAAGGTAAAACAAGCCAGCCTCTGGATCCCTTTACTCACCCAAGTCCTTGACTTGACTGTAGGCTTCACTGCTGAGTTTTCTGAAGAATGGGTTCTCTTGGGTCAACAGTGTCTTCACATCTTCCATTGACACAGTGATAATTCTTGAATTAATAAATGGATACAATGTATATATCCCCTGTAAGAGTCGAGAAAGCACCATGATCCAATGGGTACTTCAATTAAGAAATTGACACAATGAATATAACCCCTGTAAGAGTGCACAGTGATCCCTTGGATACTTTTACTGAAGAGCTTTCCTGTGGGGTTCATGACTTCACTGAAGTCCCTCCCCTGGGTCAAGGCCCTGGAGGAACTCAACGTCCTCTTAGGTGGCCCAGTCAGCTCCAGCAAGTCTTGAAGCACTGAAATCTAGTGGCATGCCATAAGGACCTCTCTTGGCTGTCTCACACCACCATGGCTAAGACTTTCCATTTCCAAATTACCTCCTGTGCCAAACGGAAGGCGCAGTCAAACTCTTCGCCACTGTTATTTCGACACCAGACTTTTATCCCGGTGTTGATGACCTGTAAGTTAGAAATGAGAGGAAACAGGAATGAAGGACAATTGTTCACTGCAGCCCCTTTCAATGCAGGGTAACATGGCTGCCTGTACGCAGCTTTGGAAAGGATGGGAAGAGAAACCACCCTTTCTGGAACAGTTTTCCAAGAGTCACAGTCCCCCACTTCTACGCCCACAGCTCATGAACAACTGAACCCAAGAGTAAGTCGCACACATCTCAGTGTGCGTCCAGACAGAGGCACTTCCTGTCACTGCCGTGCCTGAGAGCCCACAGACCCTGGAGGACGGAACAAGGCAGCTCCTGATGGCACCGTTAGGAAGCCCAGCCAGTCGGCTGGCACACCTAAGGGAAACTGTCTGGGGAGAAAGCAAACCCGGGCCCTGGCTCCTGCTCGAGGTTCACAGCGCCCACCTTCATCTTCTCGCTGTTGTTGAGCAGTACATTCCTAAGCTCCTTGGAGACCATGTAAAGCTGCCGCTTCTTCCCTTCTGTAGTTCGAGTTAACAAGTTCATCCTCGGGAACGAAGGATCCAAGGCATAGAACTTCCTGTCAACAAAGTGGCGCTGCTTACACAGACAGCCCAGGGCAGACCATCTACGACCTCACAGCCCCCAACAGGACCTAACTTCCAGACACAGGCCACCTTGCCTCAGAGCACAAGCAGGATGTGCCTGAAGGACAGCCAGGTCAAGGGCTGTTCCAAGAGCAGCTCTCCTACCAACCACTACTCCGGTGATGAGGAACCCAGACTCCCACACTAGGCCCAACATTGAAGTTTTTACAATGCATGCTTCCCTGTGTTCCCGTGCAGGGTAATTCCACTACTACCCAGACGCACTGTCTCCTCAATTTTCTACCTAAGAGCAGACGGGGACCTCGGCCACTGCCCGCTGTACTCAACTGAGTGAGAGGAACCTACACTGGGTTCGAGTTGGCAGCTCTTCAGTTATCTTCACCTCCAGTGGCGAGGCTAGCGCCCCTCTCCAGGACCACCCAGCTCTAAGGCACCATCAGGAGGAAGGCTCTAACTACAAAACACCAGTTGTATGTGACTGGTAACTGTGTGTGCCTGGTAACTGTGTGTGACTGGTAGCTGTTTGTGCCTGGTAACTGTGTGTGACTGGTAACTGTGTGTGACTGGTAACTGTGTG